AGGCAGTAAGCAAAAATAGAGTTTGTTAAATACATACACATGCATATGATGAATGTTTATGATGACTCTATCCTGTGTCTTCTCAACCTGCACAGACACAGGCATAGTGGACTGCAAGCTGAATTTCCCCCACCCCGCCTGGTACTGGGACACCCTGCTCAAGATCTGTGTGTTCATCTTTGCCTTCATCATGCCCGTCCTCATCATCACTGTCTGCTATGGCCTCATGATCCTGCGGCTAAAGAGCGTGCGAATGCTGTCGGGCTCCCAGGTTGGAAAAATGCATTTTCTTTCAAAAGCCCCAAAATTGCATATATAATTTCTTTCTCTTTTTTTGCATTTTGTCAAGGGGCTTTAATTAGATGCAAATTGTGCATTTTCTAAAATTATTAAACCTTGGGTATAAACCTAATTGATTTTATTTTTCAGAATAATGAGGCACAATAGCAACCTGCCCAGAGCATGCTTGCAAATATGGTGCTCTCATCACTCTCAAGTCCAAGTAATTAGGGAAAATCAACTTAAGCCTGAGGTTGCGGCTTAGTTTTAATTAACCTCTTAGTGCTCACTAGCATGAATATGGGTAGAATGAAAATTCTGCTGCCATGCTTTAAAAAGCATCAGCTTTCTCTGAATGAATAACGATTTAATGAAAAACATAAACATACAAAGGCAAATCACAATTTTTTTCAACACAAGAGTCTAATGACCAAAATGCCTCAAAGCTAGTTGTCTTTTTTTATTCAAAGGGGGGGAGATAAACGGTGAGGTAACACCACACTGGAATGCACGACAGTAACCTTTCACTAAGTATTTGAGTTGTTGCATAATGAAAACATCCTAAAGCAGAAATAAAAGGAAGAGTAAACATTCTTGTACACAGGATTTGTTACTGCCTATAGCTCTTAATTCTCTCCTCTTACTCTCTCATCCTCCCTTTCAGGATTACATTCTCCAATCTCCATCCTTTTCACACACTGGCCTCTCTGCTCTGTCATTCTTTCGTTATTATTTATCTTTCCCTGCCATCTCCAGTTTTTTTCTTTTTCATCTTTTCACCAGTCTTATACCCATCACTAATCTGCCTAACTTTTTCACACACAGGAGAAAGACAGGAATCTGCGTCGAATCACCCGCATGGTCCTCGTAGTGGTTGCCGTCTTCATTGTCTGCTGGACTCCTATCCACATCTTTGTCATCATCTCAGCTCTGATCACCATCCCCAACTCCACTTTCCAGACTATCACCTGGCATTTCTGCATCGCTCTCGGCTACACAAACAGGTGCCTAGCAGAGAAAAATATGCAC